AAAGAGGATTTAAAAAATCTCACTATAAAACACTAAACTACAAAAGGTGAGGTTTTGAAAATTCAGCCCCCAGAGCAGATTTCACTTAGCAATACTAAATTGCGGGGGCGATGACGCAAGATCTTGGGTGGAAGGCAGTTTCTAAATGCCCACTACGCAGTGGCCAACTTTACAGTACTGTATATCGTGCACAAATGGAGATTTTCCTGCAGCTCCTTTTATGTGTACTTTGTGTCCTGCACAGACTCGAGAGAGTCCGTGCTTCTGTCAAGTACATCGTGCGCTGAATTTAAAGGGAGTGAGGGGAGCCGCTTCGATTTGCCAGGAAACAAGTCGGCTGTGTTCACGCCCACAATGATGCAAACACCCATTTCTAACTTCACCATCTACAAAAGAAAGAAAACTCCACCCAAGGGCACAAGATTGCAATTTGCGGGAGACTGGGCATGAAAATAGCGGCTATGAAGTCTTCCATCTTGGTTCATTTTAGGATCGTATCAGCCAATTCATGGGTCGTTCACGGACGAGCTCAACAACGAAATTTGGTTGGATTGCTACCAAAGTTAATCCATGTATACTGAAACAGATGTGAAAAATTTGAGATGTTGTCAATGCATGTAGGCGGAGGGAGGCAGCATTTTACGTCAAGTTTCACGACTCGCCGTAAAAGACATAACCAATAACTCTACAAGGTGGACATTTGAAAACTCAGCAACCGCAGCTAGGCCTGCCAAATTTCACTTGACAAAGTGAAATTTGGCAGGCCCAAACGTCTCCACAAGCCATGCCTAAAAAGACACAGAAGTGCATTTTGGTTTGAAGACACCATTTCAAGATCATTACGGCCAACTTCCAACTCATCCAAGAGATTTTATCCGATTGCTACCAAATTTGAACAACTCTTATGTTTACTAGACAGATGAGTGACGCTGAATTGTGAAACACGAGACTTTTCATTTTTGTATGTTGGGAAGTGCATGGCAGTGAGTTTGGATGACTGGTCTTTGAACATAAAACACAAGTAAGTGTGCTTCACAGTGTCAGTCAATTTGCGACATGAAATTTAGGAGGCATTTCCAAGTGAAACTTTAACCTTTATCCACATTTGCTTAACGGCATTCTGCTAAAGCTGTCAAAAACGATCTGAGTCGCACAAGGTCTACATCGGAGCCGACGGTAACACAAGCAGCATGGCAAATGTTCCAAATGTTCAATATGGGCCAATAAGTGTCAGCCCAACGCCTCGCAAAGCAAGACGGAGGGCCTTCTCGGCGAGTTTGGAGACATTTTCCACGCCGATGGCGAAAGGATGACAATATCCGTCAAGTTTAAACAATCAGTGCAGACACTTGCCCGACCGTAATCAAGGTAAATGACACCGGCGTGTGCCTCCCGCAGGGGGGGTTAACAAGCATCTCGCCAAGACATGAGTAAGAGGTCTCTTTTTTTTTTGTTTGTTTGTTTGTTTTTGGTCTCAGAGAAAAAAGAAAAAAAAAAAAAACGAGGCCGCCGTGACCTCCGCTGCAGGGCCACTTTGCGATGAAGGCTATAAATCAATGGGGTCCGTAACAGACGCACTTCTCTGACGAAATCGGATCAAGCGCTCGCGTAGCGAAGCACTTAAAGGACTTCTTCCTCAATCCTTCATGCTGGAGACTCAATAAAAGGAAAGAGGGGGTGGGAAATGTCCAGACTTGACTCTGTGGCAGTCGCAATCACATCTGGAATCGCTGCACTTGTACTCAAATGATATCAAAGTACTAAAGAGCAGCTGGGACCAGCCCGAGGAAGCCATTTTCTTTGGCAGAGGGGGCACAAGAGTAAAAGACCAGGCCAAAGTGTTGCATTTGGGCCTGGTTACCTTCTGCCTGTGATGCTTTATGAACAAACCCATGAAAAGAGAAAAAAAAAAAGTAAATCCTCCCAAATCAAAATCCACAGAATATGGAAGTCGAAGTAATACATTTCTGGGTAACACTGTGGCCGTCCTAAAACCTTTATAAAGTGTAAATATGAGACATGACATTAAGTGTCAATAAAAATGAAGTTTGACACTCTGTATTACTTGGGTTTCATTTTGGGGCATTTTTACCTGTAATACAATTCAAGGCGAAATTCATGAATACTCCCTTTGCTCCCTTAAAACTGCTGGGTTCAACATGGGACCGATCGTCAATTTGGGTCAATTTGAACCAACTCTGAGTTGTTTTGCACAAAGCAACCCAAAACAGCCCAGAAAGTTGGTCAAATAAAGAAGAGTAATGTAGTGCCATATTATAGCAGGTGGACTTTTTCATGTCAGTAGACAAAAAGTTGGTGTCTTTGGGGTGCAGAAGTCGTTGACACCTTGACACGGTTGGAGTGGGGTGAGAGGATTTTGTGTTTGGTCATGTGACCATGCTCCACATACACACAGTGTATGAACTGTTGCCTCCACAAATGAAAACACTTTGCCTTTACTTGCGTTTTCTGGCCATTCCGCTCTCATAAGAAGATGTTGCTGTTGTCAATAAAATGTGTAAATTGTGCTAGAATTCTTGAAATGTTTTAAAATGTGGGCAGGGGATGGGTGCACAGTATATCTCCTTCAAGATGTTAAAGAATAAAAAAGTTTACTGTCATGGAGAAGGTTAATTTTTGTCAGATTTATGCCTCATGCCCCTCAATGTTCAGCTATTTTAATTGTTTTACAAACGTAAAAACAAGGTGACCAGTCAATACTATAAAACAGTTGCCAACATTTGTTAAGAAAATGACGAGATGAGCAATGCCCCCACCTGCTCTTAACCAGAAGAAGAATTGTCATTTGTCACAGTAGCATTAGAGCATACATATTATCGTTATGAGACTAGCTTGGAAGTGGATCACACAAGTCATACACAACACATTCACTGGTTATACAATCCAAAATAAGTCTTTTTAAATTTTTATCCATCCATCCATTATCTGAACCGCTTATCCTCACGAGGGTCGCAGGCGTGCTGGAGCCTATCCTAGCTGTCTGAAATGGTTGTCGGCCAATTGCAGACGAACAACCCTTCATACTCACAATAACATTTAATTGTACTTAGAGATGTCAATGAAACGAAAAAATTGAAAAAAAATATTGTTTGAAAAGAAACACTTCTAGAAGACTACCAATGCATTTGTCTTATATTGAAATGTTTCATACAATTGAATTCTACTTAAACTAATGGACCAGATTGGAAAAAAAAACTAACAAAAAAAAAATGAAGCCACTTGAACGTTACACGCAGCTGGAACACTCAATTCAGTGATTCTTCATGCCCCACAAAAGGAAGCCCGCTGACTTACCACACTCTCAATCACAGCTGTAGGCGATTTAAAATAATAATTTGTATTGTAATATGTTTGCCTCCGACGGGGTTATGTCTTCATGTATTACGCAGGGACATTTTGAGACATTCCTCAGTGGAGAAAACACATGCCAGCAAAACCCAGGCATTAGCAGGAGGGGTGTAGCTCCCGGATTATTTGGCCTTGGCGGAGGTCCAGGGTGCACAGTAGCATCAAATCAAAGCAGACGAAGGACTGACTCACTGATATTTTTGCTCGTGATCATGCGCACACACACACACGCTATAACTAGAAACCATAAAATATGTATAATGGCAGGGCTGTAAAAAAAATTATTAGGCAAAAAAAGAAAGTGTGTCAAACATCTGATCAACAAATAAGTGACTAAGGTTTATTTACTACAAATAAAACAAAGAAGTATTCATATATATATATATATATATATATATACACACACACACACACACACACACACACACACATTTCTAAATAAATTGTCATTTTTTTTACTGCTGAAAAAGGAAAAAATGGGTATGTGAAAAATTAATTCAAATAATGTGCATTTAAAATAAGTGTAATTTTTAATTAAAAACTACGTTTATGATAAAAAGGATTAAAATGACCAAAAAAGTGAAAGTAAAAATAAATTGTTTGATAGAAATAAAACAATTTTTAAAAATCTAATAAAAAGTCCAAATATAACATCTAAATATATATTAATTTAAATAAAACTATAATTTGTCAAATTGATACAAACGGTCTTTATATATAAAATCCATCCACCAACCCATTTTCGAATCCGCTTAGTCGAGGGTCCCGGGCATGCCAGAGCCTATCCCAGCTGTCTTCGGGCAGTAGGAGGGGTACACCCTGAACTGGTTGCCAGCCAATCACAGGGCACACATCGCCGAACAACCATTTGCGCTCACAATCACACTCAGGGACAATTTAGAGTGTTCCATTAGCCTGCCATGCATGTTTTTGGAATGTGAGACGGAGTACGCAGAGAAAACCCACATGTGTATGGAAAGAACATGCAAACTCCACACAGGAAGGCGAGAGCCAGAATCGAACCCTTCACCTCTGCGCTGTGAGGTGGACATGCTAACTAGGTGACCACCATGCCGCCCTAGATATAAATAGAAAGTAAAAATATTCACTGAAAATAATTTGTTTTAATGATATTCAAAAATGGGGGAAAAAATGTAAAAAAAAATAAAATAACGTGAAGTAAAATAATCAATTAATCGGTAAAAAAGTTTAATTCGTAATTCGTATAATAAAAACACCTTTATTAATTTAAAGCAAAAATACATGAATTGAAAGGGGGTAAATAAATAGCTAAATACAGAAATAAAAACACGTAATTTCAAAAAGTGGAAAACTAAATCCACTAATTATTAAAAAGTGAACAAAAAAGTGATGTAAAACCCAAGAATGAAAGAAAGTAATACAAATCCCGCAAATGAACCATTTTAAGCGAAGCATTGGTGGGAAGGGCACCTTTAAGTGACGTCACAGTTAACAAACTGTATGTGCTTATACAACACGTGCACCTCTCGTACATGCGTTTAGTCTCACTCTCAAAGACTTTCCATTTTGTAGCATGATGGCAATGTGAACCGACAGCGCTGAGTAGACTTATTGTATGGAAAAATGGAGGACGATGAAACAGAACTGACCTGGTCGGTCAGGGAGGCGTGCGTACGCGTCAACTTCCAAACTTAGAGTGAGCGCACGGCGGCGGCAGCGGCGGCGTCCTCGCAAGCAGCCAAGTTCACCAGCGGAGCTCCATCCCGGAGGTGCTGGAAAGCAAGCGGGCACACGCGTGCGTGGAGATCGCAGCCGTAGATTGTGTAACTCTAAAATCTTCACGGTTAGTCCACAAAATAAATTTTAAAAAAATTTCAATAAAACGTTTGTAGTGCTTGAGTATCCTGGTTTCCCGGGTCAGGAAAGGATGGAGGAGAGGCTCCGTCTCGCACAGCTGCTTCCTCCCGGAGCCGACGAGGTCTCGCCAGCTGATCAAGTGCGCATCCCGCCGCTGCTGCGCCAATCAGAGACCGGAGAGGAAAGACAGAGGGTGGGAGGGGGGTGGAGCGGTGAGGAGGGTCCGAGTCTGATGATGATGGTGATGATGATGATGATGATGACGACTACGACGATGATGGGAGGGTGGTGGTGTGCGGCACAGCTGCGTTGAATTTACGAATAAGTGGCTTTGCACCCTGGAAGAGAAAGAAAGAAATTCAGACAGCACGCCAAATCAAGTTCAACAAGAAAAACAGATAAATAAAATGTTCGACAATGGGGACCAGTCTTGTCAAGTCGCCGTGGAAACATTCAGATAACAAGAGACCGCATCACGTAAAATCATGAAAACACCACGTAAAATGTATCTTGTATGAACCAAATAAAAGAAGAATAAAAGAAAAGTCGAGTGAAATAAGTTAAATCAACATCAAGTCTAATCATAAACAGCAAGTAAAATGACGAACATCCAGTCAATTAACAATATTAAATAAGAATAACAAATCAACTGAAACAAAAATGTACTATAATGTAAGAAAAAAGAAAGCAATATCATTTAAAAAACAAAGTTAAAAAAAAGTTAAATCCTTGAAATAAAATCACAAAAATAAGAAGAACAAAGTAAAAACAAGTATAATAATACAAAAGAAGAAAGAGAAAAAACAAATCAAGTGGCATGGTGGGAAACCAAGTAAAATGTAAAAAAAATTAAGACAAATTAAAAAGTTATTAATCAACCCATTAAGTAAAATCCTTAGCATGAATGAGTAGTGATTATAAATACTGTAGGTTACATTTATTGGGGGCAAAGAAGTGTAATGATGATATTATCTGTAACACAATGGAAAAATATTGAGTACAATTTAGTCATGAAAAACATCAACTAAATATTGACAGCAAAATTAACACAGTGAAAAACGTTAAATGTTTTAATGTTTCTTAAAAAAAGAAACATTAAATACAATTACTTTAAAAAAAAAGAAACAATCAAATAAAACTGACAGGAAATAAGGATCATGAACCGAGGGGAAAATGGACATCTAGTAAATCTATGTGATTGTTCATGAAATACTGCACATTAAAAAATAAAATACATTCCACAACATTTTTAAAAAGTTTCTAAATAAGTTTTAAAAAATTAATACAAAACTACTTGTAAATGTCAAAGAAAAATCATAAAAAATGAAGTAAATAATGGAATAATGGAACAAAAGCTGGAAAGTTAATTCAACTATTAAAACAAATTAAGTGAAAGGGTGAACAAGTACAAACATTAATGGTTTTAAAATCAAACATTATTTTTTAAAAACAAAAATAAATAAAGGAAAAACTTTAAAAAGCATTAGGTAAAAAATAAAGCCAACTAATCACAATAAAATCAAGTGAAACAATGTCACAAAAAAACAACAACCAACAAATCGAGTAAAAACATAGAAATAACTAAATATAATGGTGGAAAACTACAGTTAAAAAAACTCATTACTGAAAATCAAACCAAATAATCCAAATTAAATCAGTAATGTCCAAGTAAAAGCACTGAACATGAATAAATGGGGGTGGGGGAATTCATGAAACCAAATGTTGACAATCAAGTTAAATCATCAAATAAATACGTAAAGGTAAACCTCGAAGAAAAAAAAAATACATTTATGAAAGCAACTCAAGGAAACGGATGAAAAACAATGACCTATTTATTCTGTAAATTCAAGTAAAATAATGGTAAACTACAATGAAAATCATAAAAATGCATAAGATGAAAAGAAAAAGGGGAAAAACCATCCATCCATTTTCTGAGGAACAAAAAAAAATCTAGTAAAATAATGAACATTTCAGAATAATATTGAAATGGTAAAAAAAAAATAATAATAATAAACACAGACTCTAAATTAAAGTATGATAAAATACTAAAACCAAATCAGGTAACAAAATTAAAAAACATTGATAAAAAATGTATTTTTAAATCTAGTAAAAAGTGGGGAAACTGTGGCAAATCAAGTAAAATAATTGAAAATAATCAAGAAAAATTATAACATTAAGTACGATCAACTGTCTTACACAGGTCATTTATAAAAGAAAAACGCTTTTTTGCCACGCTTTTTGACAGTATGTCTTAAAACTCTGTGTGACCTCACAGTAGAATATGACTAAAATGATCTTAGAAAAAAACATACCTCTCTGGCTCCACCTTATGCCTCTAATTTGAAAGTATTTATTCTTTTCGAACGAGTCCCGCCTTGACAATAATATCCTGTCAGAGACAGTAGGGACAAAAAGCGTGACCAAAGTGTTGCCGCGTAGTCAGGGACAGCCAATAGCCTGGCTTTCCTTGGCTGGACCATATTTATTTCTGGTTGAACGCCCAAAAGAAGGAAGTGGACAGCTCTTGAGACAAAACAAAGGTAACAACACAATACTGAATCATGAATAAATCATGCTAGCAAACTAGCAGCCGTGGTTAAAAACGGCTCATTTACGTGGACATTCCTAGTATATTCATATCTTGTCCAACCTGTCCGCGGGGCATTTTAAATGTTTTTAATTTGAGTTTGCATGGTTTTAAGTGCTCATGTGAGACTGCCATGCGATCGGGCAACGCCTTGGTATTCAACAATTTGCTGCTGATCAGTGCCAAGCGCCAACTGATGCATTGATATGGCTAATACCACATAAAAAACAAAAAAAAAAATCAAATACTAAAACTAATGAAAATTAAACTAAAATTTTGGTCAAGAAGTCTGGCAGGTTTACGTTAGTTCAGGGCGTGGCTTTGGTCAGAGACTTGAGGGGGGAAGGGATTGGTGAAGTGAGGCTCCATTCAAATCTTGCTAGCAATTGTAGCACTGCAAACTTTCCCTTTCATGAAATGAAAGAATAAAAAACATCAAATACAATCAGGAAAAAAAAAACAAAAACAATTAGTGTAGAGACTTAACCCAGCCGCTGGGGGGCAGTGCCCTCCCCTGGGGGTGCACTGTTCCCCAGTGCCGGTCCCAAGCCCGGTGAGATGGGGAGGGTTGCGTCAGGAATGGCATCCGGCGTAAAACTTTTGCCAAGACGACCATGCGAGTTGGTAGGACGGTTTACAGGGGCGGGTGTGCATTAATGACTCGCCGTG